CGGTTTGGCGCAGTATGCCGACAGCTTTGTTGGTGGGTTTCCCCATTCGTCTTCTTACTGTTCCATGCATTGTGAAACCTGACTGATTGCGTCTTCAACCAGAAAATGAGATTGTCGGCGAAGCCTTGGTTGCTCTACAACACGATGACCTGAAGTCTATGGGTATTGCCAGTGTTGGCCATCGCCTCACTATCCTGAAGAGCGTTTATGATGTGAAGAAGGCACAGGACATACCAATAGAGAGCGACCATTATGTGCCGTTATGTAGGTGACGCCGCATTGCGTGTGTAGGGACTATCCACTAACATGTGCTCTCCTAGCTGCCGATGCGGAGGCCCAGTACGCGACAGCAACCCTCAAGGATATCAAGCACTTGGTTGAGCAGCTCCGTCTACGAGACGAGAGGATGAGCATGGTGGAGAAGGACCTGCGTCGACTCTCTGAAGACTTCAGACGGCTGAGGGAGGATATGCTGCCTGCGTTACGCTTGGCAAAGGATTCGTCACAACCACTGCCCAACGTCTCCAACAACAGCAATCAGGGCTATGGCTATGAGACCGTATCGCCCCCCGCTCCAACACCCTCTTCCACCCAGTCGATGAGCCTGCAACGGCAGTACTCCACCAAGAGAATCATGTTAGGAACGACGCCAAAGAACAACTCGCCATCACACCTGCAAACAACGCACGAAAGGTCGATGGAACAAACGCTGGATCCCTCGAATGCTGCAGAACGAGCCGTGTTATCTTCGTCGCATCTGGCAGCTATGAATGGTTCAGCCACGGCTACATCGCCCGGCTATCCTTCCCCGAACATGCCTTCACCGACCTCCCCTCCAACACTTGGCGGCGCGACTTTGGGCTCTCGATCGTATCGCTCCGACCGCTCCGAAGCCCCGACGCCTTCTACACGATCCACCTTTGCCGAAAACGACCATGGTTACAAAGGCCGGGAACAGCAAACGGCGCCGAAACGCGGACCGACCCCAGCTCCCGATACACCAAGCACGAGCAACGCATCTGTCGAGATCTTCAAGTCATTCCGAGTCAGTATGGACGACCCATGCTATAAGGTGCTGCCCGCCGCCCTCAAAAAATACCAAATCAATGCACCCTGGGATCAATATGCGCTGTATATTGTCTACGGCGATCAGGAGCGGTGCTTAGGGCTGGAGGAGAAGCCTCTGATCCTATTCAAGCAGCTGGATAAGGAGGGCAAGAAACCAATGTTCATGTTACGAAAGACGAATAACGCACAAGTCGATGCGTCGTCAGAACAACCAGGAAGCGCCGGGCTCGGAGCCAGAGGCGCGACAACGGGCTATGATCCGCCTGGTGGTATCATTTAGGGGGTGATACCACTACTGATCATACTCGAAGCTTATCCTTCCTCGATTTGACTTATTTCCCATCCGATTATTTGAGTGGACACCAGCCGCGTGTAGGATGCGGGGCTGGGAGCTCGACAGGACCAGAGCATACCGGAGTTGGGGTTCACCTGCATAGCGCTGCGCGGAAGAGAGATGACTGACTGCTTTGGAATACTGTCGCGGAAACAATATGTGGGTTCGATTGGGCGGGGGTCTTCTCCACGGTGTTTCGTATCGCAACTGTTCCTGGGCTGTCCAAACTCGAACGTGGATCCGAGCAAGTATTGTTTTTTTGTGTACGAGCTCTCAAGCCTCGACCGGACGAGACATCGGGCCATCGAATGCCGTCATGGAGCACCTTTTTTGTTTTTTTCTCGAAGCTATCTAGAGCCTTGTGCTCTTGGAGATCTAGGGTCTATCCAACTGGGGCTTACGCTGGGTGTAAGCGGGGAGTAGAGCAAGGTGCTTGTTTGCCGTGTTGTATTGGGACATGGTGTGTTCTGATGAGATTTGGAGCGAACGTGTAACCATACACCTAGGGAGTGGGAGGCAGGATATTTCTTGGGTTTGGGAAGGTGGCATCTGCTCTGTGCAACGCAAGAGGTCGCGGAAGCTATCAAAAAAGGAGCTCTTTTTTATTCTTGACATCAATTTATTCACCACTTGATTCAGATCATACTGTTGCACGTGGCCACTGTGTGTCTCTCTTTTTTGTTCGTCCCCCCGGCGCAAATACCGTTTTGTAGCTACCGTCTAACTGGCCTTGGACTTAGGTTAGTAGGTAAGAAGTGTGTTGACCTGATACACTGATGAGGGCCGCATGATAGCAAAGTCTTTGCATGTTCTTTGCTGGGCGTTGCCCTTTTTTTTTTTGCCAAGAGAAGTGACGCACATGGACGATCTCATCAAGGATCAAAGCTATGTTGCCACTATACGGGAATTTACACGCAACTCGGGGCCCTTCTAGAAGCACGGAGGATCCATCCCGCTTGATCCCCCCCCCCCCCTCTCGGATCCAGGATTTGTGTGGATGGGACGATTTCGCGGTTCCAAGACCAGCCGAAGTCTGGTTCGGTGCCGCGGTGCGTCGTAACTTGTAAGGGAGGAGGGAGTGATTTGAAGGCAATTGAGGTGAGGTGGTAGGGATGAGTGTGGGACGGATGACGAGGCTGGGTACCGGATGGTGAAGGATTGGATGTGGGAGAGGAGGCTGTTCGTTGCGATTTTTCTTTGGAGGGTAGTAAGAGCGAGGGGAAGGGGATGGAGTACTCCGTACTGTAGAAGCTCACTTTCACCCGTTCGTCGGCTCGTCCTCCTGGAGTTGAGCTAGTAAGCACAAGGCAAGCTGATTTAGCGGCATCGGTTTTCTTGTGGTGGACAGACGGGCGAGGTTTGGGTTGGGGGTTGGATGGACCGGGATGTTGTGTATGTGGGTGGTATTCGGGTGCGGCGGAGGGCCGGGTTCTAGATGTCTCAGTCTGGTGGGGTGTGTTCTTCTGTCCCGTAGACTATGGTGGTTTTGTTGTTCGTTTCCACACTTTCTTACACGCTCTTTTGCTCGTTTCTTTGCGTCATCTGTAGCTATCAGTTAAGTAAGAGAGTGATGGAGAATGGTAGGTATGGGCGAGGTATGGGTCGGTGAGGAGCAGGGGCAGGGCGGATTAGTGTCGCGTCTAGATGAGGCAAGACGACGGGGGAAAGAAGAGAAGTTCGTGTGGATGGGATCTTAAGGCAAGAACACATTGAAAATCAATTCGATAAAGGGTAGAATGATACGGAGTACGGAGCAGGTTTCCATTGACTGGACCCTGGAACTTTCTCGGACAATGCATCCGTACTGTCGTAGGAAGGGGGGAAGGAAGGGACCCTGTTTCCAGTTCCTTATATTGCCCATTTTGGGACGACGGGATGTTGGGGGCGGTTTCGGCGAGGAGGTTCCGGTGTGACGCCGGGACGGGGCGGAGGTGGTGCAGGTTTTGGCGTTTTCCCCCTCCGGCGGCGATTTATTCCTTCTTACCGTGTAGGTACCTTGGCTGGATTCTGAAAATGTCAATGGCAGCTTACAGCCCTTGCGCACGTCAACCCCGTCTGGGACCCGAAGCTAAGGAGGGCAGAAGGGGGCTAAGGGGGTTTGAACGGTTCGTCTACTTGGGATGTTTAGGTGACAGTGTACGTGGTGTGGCTTGTTTGCGGGCGATGGTGCGGGAGGATAGGAGACCTTGCTACCTTATCTGGATACGAGGTTTTGGAGTGTGAAGAGGTTACAGGTGAGTCAAAGGTGAAGGAGGTGAGGTCTCGTATCCGTAGGTACCTTAGTTTAGCCGACCGCCCTTCCTCTCTCCAATCTACAATGTATCTCTCGTGATGAAGTATGACTTGAGGCAGAGAATTAACCGGATTGATGGTAGTCCGAAGAAACATCACAAAGCGCGTCTGATTTCTAGAGATTCTTGGTTGAGAACCAAGCTTGGCCCAATGTTGATTTGGCCGGACCGGGGGCTTGCTAGATGTAGGCACGGTCGTCACACCGAGCCGCAGGTCCGTATGTAGGTCGGTACGGTGCCGTCCGCCTAGGCTGGGCTGTCGCAGATAGACGGGACGTTGATTGCCCATCATGGTGGCAGAGCAGGTTTTCCAAGGTTTTCTAGAAGCTTGGTTCAAGCTACCTCATAGTTCCGACCACAATAATTTTTGGGTTCGGCTTCCGGGTGACTATCTCTCGCGTACACAAAGACTTTCTTCTCGGACACTGATACTTTTCTCTGGTCAACTCTCCCACCCCACATGTTCGATTGATCTTCGCTTTTTGACGGGCGTTTGGTGTTTTGGGATGTGATGTATGGCAGAATCGGGTCTGGGGAATGAGACGTCAAGTCGCAGGTTGAGTGGTTTCCGGGATGGGCAGGTAGCTCTTACCAAAACTCACTACCAAGGCGGAAAGTTTATGCTTTGCTGCTCGCGAGTAAGGTGAGGTAGTTGAGACTGAGATATCCATATCAGCTGGCGAATCTGTCAAAAACCGAATGATGGGCTGAATCGCGCGCATGAAGTTGGGTGAGAAGCGGCGGTTATAAGTCTAGAAGATCAGCACGAGATGTGCATCCCGATGTGACTCGTCTGATGATGCTGGGTTTATGGATGGGATGGTTTTGTTGCCGACGTATTGGATAGCAGTCTTGGAGGGCCTGATTTTGAACGTTGATGAGTCGTTGAGCCTGAGGTATTGTTTCCTCTGCCTATATGTCGGATACGTGCCGTCTCATGCCTGGCGCTTTCCGATGTAGGGATCGTCCACAGAGCCAGACCTCCCATCTCGAAGTTGGCGGATGAGATAATGGGCTAGACTCACATGTCACCCATGAAATGTCTGCCCAGCTCGCCGTTGAAGTATGCCTCCATCCCAAACTCCTTGTCCCCCCGCGAAACACACCCTTGCGTGTCCATCACCGACTTCCCTGTTTGGGCGAACTCGTCTACTCCATATATGGCCGGCCGGTTCCCCACTACGTCGTCAAACCTCCACGGTTGATCTCGGAGTCCTCGACGCGATTAGGGCTCTCCTTCCGCGAAAGGGTTCCACAGCAATATAATTACCTTCACCGCTCAACGACTCCATCAACAGATACGAAATGCCCGAATGGCTCAGTGGTAAAGCGTCTCACTAGTACCTTGTTTCCCTTCCAGGTCTCACGATCTTTGGTTAATGTGTGAACGCAATGAGAAGATCGGCGGTTCGATTCCGCCTTTGGGCAATCTGTTCTTCTTTTGCTATGTTTGTATTTTTTGCTCCATAGTAGTTGTTGTGTTTTGCTGGATGGGAGGCATAGATATTCGTGTTGACACCTTTCAGCTCAAATTGGACGATTGTGGTTGCGTCTCTCGTTTGAGATGGGGAGCTTGTGATGCCAGCTTCATACGCCAGCTCTATACGACGTGAGGGGAAATGGGGGCATCCAAGCTATGATTCAGTGTAGTCGTTGTGATTACTCTCTGGGCCTATTCGCGAGCACGAAAAGAAAGCATACTCGTCGTATTTTGAGAGAGGCATTGCAACTCGACTAATGCACTAGCATCTGGAGGCTAGTGAGTTCGGTTTCACGATGAAGGCAGAATCCTCCGTATTCAGTCTCTCTGTTGCCATGAGAAGTCTGCAATCTGCAGCAAATTCTGGACCAGAGGTCATGCGCAAAGCAGAGGAAAGCTTCGTCCTTCATGTGATCATTGGGAAGATGAACAAAGGGAAGGAGTACTTGCACTGACATCAGCTTATCTGGACAAATGCTTGAGGAGTGGGTTTCCTCATTAGCGACTAATACGCGAAGAGAAACATCAAATCACTGCTTAGAAGCGGTGCAGAAGGTACTCGGCGGAAGGAGGCATGCACGAACCACATGATCAAGATGCCGTCACTAAGAAAGAAAGAGCAGCTCATCCGGACTACGAAGGAAGTACCTAAGTTTAGAGAAGGTGACGGTTCGCGGATTGAACATTGGAAGGCAAGATCGATCGTGCTGGTTCTTCTCTCTTCCTCTTTGGTACTTACCCGAAGTTACCCAGCGTTGAGAGTTGCCACTTGCTCCCTCTCAACTTCATCCTGATGCTGCCTCTCATCTTTGCCCACAGCAGTCGTTCGCCTTTCGTTTCTACCACAAAACTACCACAAAACTCCCGCATTTCTTCCTCTCTTTCTATCCTTCAGTTGTGCAACGCAATCTGCTCTGATCTGTGGCGTCTCCTCTCGATCGAGTCTTTCCAAGCATTGTACGCGAGATAGTTGTCCCGAACCTCTCTCGACGAACATCGACCGAACGTCCAAATATTGACCACTCTTAAATGCGAGAGAGCCTAATCGGACATATCGCCTGTTTTCTCCGGGCTTACAGTGGCATTTTGTACGCTCTCTCTCTTTTCATTTCCCTGGAATTCCCTCTCGGTCCATGCTGACAATTTGAACACCAGATGTCTCGCTGCCATATCGACTGAGCCTCCTCGCAAGTCTCAATCAGAGTAGCATCTCTTCATCATAAACCGAAGCGAAGTCTTGCCCATCATGAGCCAGCAAGACCAGGTCACCCCGCCAGGTCGGCCAATCGGCCTGCAATATTCCTTTGGAACCAGTGGTGCTGGTCATTCGTTCACATGGAGCCCTCCAACATTGTCTGGATCTCAGAAACAACTGGACCATGAAGCATTGCCCCATAGAAAGCGTCGAAGACTCAATGAGGTCCAGGTCAACGTTGAAGCGCATGGAGTCGCCAAAATCCGTCTAGGCGAGGACATGACATTCGACTTCACATCAAACCACAGAGAGGCAAAGAAGCAGCTTTCGGATGTCGAAGCTGAGCGAGATCACCTTCTACAGCGGCTTGATGAGACTAGAAAGGACCACGAGAAGACTCTTTCGAAAGTCAAATATGAGAGAGACGAGTCCATACGTGGTCATCGTGAAGCCACGAGGACTTACGACAGGATTACTTCTGCCCTGAGAGTTGAGGTAGATGGGCTTCAGCAAGAGTTAAGAGAGGCCAACGAAGATCTTGAAAAGGCCAAACAGGGACTGGAGAATGCGGAGGTAGAACTCGAACGATCGTCCAACGCTTCCTTCGACTTGAGTACCGAATCGTCTCCTTTGATAAGGACTATTAGATATCTACGGGACGACCACAAGGAGCAGCTCAGCACTCTCAAAAAGGACCTTGAGGACTCTGAAGACAATGTTCAGGCTGTCTCGGACTCATTGAAGATGCGCGAGAGGGAACTTATTGCTTGTCGCGACCTTAATGCTCAGATTATCAAAGGACTTCGAGAAACCAACACAAAATACATCAGCGAGAATGGTAGTCTGCGGGCCAAGGTATCAGAGCTCCAGGATGCCTTGAAGAAGCAGGGACAACCCACAGTCATCGAACTATAGCGATATCAACTCGAACTTGGAATCGAACAGAGCGATATGAAGGCCCCAGAGGGTTTGGGCTTCTTAGACAAAATGTATTTATACTTCTGGGGGCTCGTGATTTACAGATGAATGGTCTGAGGTCAAGGTCGGTCACAGATACGCATCGTATCTTCAAATCTTAGAACGAGGAGAGCCTTGTCCACTTCTCGGCGCGACTTTAACTTCCGAGGACGAAGGAACTGTAGAAGATTTTCGTAGAGAAGATTTTCATGCTAGAGAATCTTCACCATCAAGCAAAGGCGGAGTTAGGTGAGTAAACACTGTGGGACGATGGCATGCAGCTGTGTGTGAAGCTGCTTGCACCGGCAAGGTCACGATGGAGAGATCTTTTGTTGAGCACCAACCTGTACTTTAGTTTTCAGCATCAGTCTCGCTCTTCTACCAAATCAATCATCCTTAGAATCCCTTTCCTTGCGACACGTGGCATGCCTCCACTGCTTCGCAGTATAACCCGACGTAGATCTTCCAAGCTGCAATGTTCCCATGGCATCTCCTAGGCAATCCGGCATATGAGTATATAGGAACCTTGCGAGCTTGGTTGAGATGACCTTGAAGAACGGCCAATACTTTAGAGAGCCCGCCCATCAATCAGGCGTGAGTGGAATGCAAGGCAAGGTCTCTTGGATCCGACCGAGCCTTGAGACCGAGTCTCCCGGATTTGGGTCCACGCCAGCATTCATGATTGTGTGACGGAAGATGTCAATATGACAGACCTGGCAGCCATCAGAGTAAACCAATGGATAAGAATGAAAAGGGGACACACGTTGCCGATGCGATGGGGGCAGATCACCCTCCCTCCCTTACACCTCCTGAAGGACTCGTCTCTACCGCGGGAGTGCGAAGTATTTCTGACTCCAAAGGGCGAGCGCTTCCAGACCTGGAGACCGCAATGATTCAACTAGTGGGCGGATAAGCCAAAGCAAAGCCCGTTCTTAAAGCGGATTCGGCATTGAAACAATCTAAGCTAAAGGCCAACGTTCCGCATTCGACTGTTGAGGACGGGGGAATCTCTTCTACCTAGGTTACGTAGATGCATGACGCTGCAACGTGCGAACCAACCTCGACCGGCATAAATCTGGCAAATCGTAAGTAAACACAACAACGGAAGCAAGTAAAGTATCACGCAGAACGATCCAGGGAACGGAATGGGTATTAGAATTTGTCATGATTGCAAACGGCCATTCCTATCGCGGCCCTCATGAAAATCTTCCTATAGTACAAGCAAAATTTGGCAGGGAAACCCCCATCCCGCCAAAGCCATCCATGACCGCAATGCATGCAAAGTTCCGTTGTCGTGGTGTGTGTGAGAGAGTTGTCTTGATATACAGTTTCCGAAGCGCAAAACGCAAAAAAGTCTGCCCGAGGAAAAGGGGGAGAAGGAGGGGTTGGTTGGTGTGTGATACAGTCGTTCAGCTTTTTTTGGTGCGCGTAGATCCGGATTTCTTTCGATAAGCTAGCCTCGGTGTTTTCTTCCCGGCTTCGCTTTTGCATTGTCTTTTCTTTGCCTTTCTTGATTTTGTGTTGTGTTCGAGAAAGTTGGTGATTTTACAGAGCGGGCTTGGCCTCGGAGCGGTCGAGGGCGATGCCGACCTGCTCAGCCGTGCTGCCCTCCTTGCCCTCGCCCGCGGCCAGGAGCGCGTCGCCGCCCATCTCGCGCATGCGGTACTCGCGCTCCATGCCCTCGATCTGCTGGTCCTCGGCCCAGCAGGTGGCCAGGGGGACGCCAATCATGAGGGCGGTGGCGCAGACGACCCAGACGGTGCGGGAGCCGTAGTACCACGTGTTCTGGACGGCGCTGACGCCAAAGTCGACCTTGTTGCTGATCCAGCCGCGTGTGGTCGGGGGCACAATGTCCTTGAGGGCGTATAGGCGCTCGGTGAAGGACTCGTCGCGGGGGTTGTAGTCGCTGTCCTCAGAGATCTCGGAGTCTTTGGGTGGGTTTTGGTCAGCTTGGGGTTTTCCTGTGACGTATGCGACACGAGGGGGGAGCTTTGCGATAAGAGTAATCATCAAATGCTCATCCACGTGCTTGATGCCTCAATAGTAGCAGATGGTACATACCAGTGTCAGAGTAATCGGCGTCGTCGTCGATGGGGCCGGCCTGGCCGGACTGGAAGTGCTCGTCCTCGACCTCGGTAAGTTGAACCATTGTGGCTGTAATTTAAGAGCGGCGCTCCTTTCTTTTCGGTCGTGTATCGGCTGCGCGGTGCGCGTTCGCAAGGATCTCGATGAGACGGTTGCGAAGGTAGCCCAGGGGCGTGTGAAGTCGAAGACTGAAGGCGACCGGGTAATCGATGTAGAATCCGAGCTTCTGGAGCTGTTGTAGATTCGCAAGCTGTTGATGACCGTAACGAAGTGCTTTTTTCCAACCAAGGATGGAGAGATGGCGCTGGATCTCGCAGGAAAATTCGTTGGCGAGGAAATGACCTTGCTCGTCAAAAAGGGAGGAGAGGACGTTGTTGGGATGGAGTCGAACTTGGAGTAGAGCTAGGGGATGTTCAGCGACAGCTGGGCCAGAGGTAGCAGTTGCTGGACCCATCATGAGAATTTTTGGTGGCTAGCGTGATTGGTCCTGGTCCGAGCGCATAGAGCTCGGAAAAGGGTTCTGCCGAAGAATGACGTTGGTTCTGAAGGGTGACGGAGTGCACAGACCGGGCAGCTCCTGATTTACCCCTTGCCTTCCATTCTTGCTTATCACTCTGGCTCTCGCCATGTGACTTCTTCAGGAACGAATACGTGCGAACGCGGTAGGAGAGGATAATGAAAACCGTCCGATTGGATGAATTTGTTTTTTTTACTAGTCCATTGAATATTTGATCACCGTAAGCAGGTTTGGAAGGATGAAGGACCTTTTATCCCCCAGAAACATCCCCAGCACTTTGACCGTGAATAGTCGCGAAGAGCCACGTTCGTAAACGTTTGATTATTCGTGAACGCTTTTTTATACCCCTTCCAAACAAGAAAGAAGGAGGTGCATACTAAGTAAGTATGGGAAATTGTCATCACATTGCATCCTTCATGGTCGTCTGTTCGGAAAGGTGTGCAAGCAGGCACGTCGATGGACGTTCCACTGCATTTCAATACTTTCAGAAAGATGCAAGTACACAAAGGGATGAGGTAATTGCTTAGACTTCTTTCGAGTAACATCTTCACGTAATCCTCCTTTTAAAGTTAAAAAATGGCCATGGACGTAGGAAACCAAAGAACCTTTGATAGGTTGAGGACCAGAGTAGTGACTACATGGCCTCCCTGATACTCTGAGGGAAGTCATGAACCCTCCCCGTCAATCTCCAAAGCTTAAAGATGATCATTTCCTCCAGCTTTGAAGTAGAATAGGGCATCTCACTAGATTCCCGTAAACACCCCCGAGTGCCCAAAAGGAAGTTGAAATGCCTTGATCATAAAATTCGTGATTCTATATGCCCAAACACTAATACATGGTATATCCGTCCAGAAGAAAACCCCCCTGACGCCGATAAATGTGAAAAGACAAGCCATGCTAGCCCTATAGGCCACCCGGTATATGGCGGATGCCAACGAATGAAAAAGTAATAAAAATGCCATAGGCATTGATAGACTGAAGAGGGGGTAGATACCCCTCCACACATCTTATGAGACTACAATACTCCTTCAAAAATGCACACTCCGCTTCTTAGCGACCTTTCGCTTCTTCTCCTCTTCCTCGGACCGGTCCCGATGGAAGAAGTTGCTGACGCTAGCCGCTGGATTCGCGTAGGGTCCCTGAAGCAGTCCCGACATGAGGTTCGGAAGCTTCCCGCGACCGGCCTGCTGCGACTGCGACTGCGACTGTTGCTGCGGCTGAGACGACGCACCGCCACTCATCGTCGGCGGCGGCTGCGCAAATCGCACCTGCGGACGATACGCGCTGGTGCCCGGGGGCCCGTTGTACGGTCCCGCGCTGTTGGGCCGTGGTGGCTGCGCCGGTGCCACATGCCAAGAGCCCGGCGTGGTTCCGGGCGGCGGCTGGTGACGCGGTGGTAAGTTCGGGTTCGACTGACTAGGCGGGACGCCGTAGAGTCTGCGAAGTCGCTCTGTCTCGGCCTCGATCTCGGCTTCTTTTCGTCGGCGGTCGGCTTCTTCCTTATCGAGCATCTTCTTGATGCGCTTCGCTTCCTCGGCGTCCCGTCGCTCGCGCTCGCGCGCCTGCCGCTCTTCTTGTGCTACCATGGCCTGAAGGCGCTTTGTCTCGTTGTCGATCTCCCACTGTTGGCGGGCATTGGGCCTGGGAGGACCGTTGTTCATGGTTTGTGCTGGGGGCGAGGCGGGCTTATTGCCGATGGCGCCGGACATGGCGGTCGTGGGCGGTGCTGGCGCCATGGATACCGGGGGTGGCTTGGAGTTCTTGCGGCGACCGGTCGTGGGAGGCGGCGTTGCCGTCAAGTTGAAGACGTTTTGTCTGGGGTTCAAGAACAGGTCGCGAAGAACCTCGGCGCCTAGTAGCAGAACAATGTCCAATCCCTTCCGGTCCTCCACGTCCACACGCTGCAGGTTGGGCTCGTAAATCGTCACGGCGCTCTCGTGCTTTGTGTCCTTGAACATGGCGACCGTGATATCAGGCTCTTTGCTCTTCTTGCCAGCGACGCTCTTGCCGACCATATAGCATGTCATATCCTTACTCAGTCTACCGTCTCGCTTCCAGCGGAACACGACCTTGGGGACGGTATCGCTGATGGGCGGATCGTCGGAGGAACGATCGAGCAAGCTTGCGCTCGGCGCGCGGAAACTTTGCTCGGGCATCTCAAACTCCCAGCTGTCGGACTTGCCCCAGCTACCGGATTTCATCTTGATGACGACCTGTGAGTCCGGGTTGTAGAGCTGGAGCGTGACTTGGTCGGGCAAGATGGGTTGTGGCGGGGCCGGGGTGCCATTTTGGACGCGGACCTCGGCGGCTGAGAGTGTGGGCTGGGTCCATTCCGGCTCGACGAGGACCTCGGCGTAGATGATCTGCTGGGAAGCGATGTCGGTGAGAGCAGCGGCGTACTTGTTGCGGGCGACCGGGTTAGCGGGGTCGGCACGCTTGAGAACGTAATTTGGCACCGGGTCGGAGCCTTGGTGAGTGAAGTAGAGAATGGTGTTCTGAGGGTTATCGGAGGAGGGGCGGAAGTGGAAGGTGGGTAGGTTTTCATCGAGCATGTTGGGCGGCGGTCGACGGCTGGATTAGCGATCGACGGGCTCGCTCGAAGAAGTAAGTTGAGGTGAGTTTATTGAAGGTCTTGGTGTTGAGGCAGAGAAGTGACGTTCCTTGCGCCGCTGGAAGGTGTGTTTCGGAGGAGGGGGAGGGGGACACAGCGTTGATAAAAGGGTCAGGCTGGCAAGGCCAGTGTGCTGGGCCTCAAGGGTGTGCGAGGCCAAGTGGGCTGAGTCTTGAATCCGTCCGTCACCCGTCCGCCTTGGCTTTTTTTTTATTTTGCGTGTTCTTGGATTCGAAGACAAGGGATAGGTCACTACTCCGTAGTATACCCAGTCCTATACGCAGACGTGGGAATCTATCCGCGGGATCTAAGGTATGCAGTAAAGAGCCCCACTACCTTACGTAGGGAAGCCAAAGTCCCCAAAGGATTCTGTCGGGGAGGAGAGGTGATATGACAATAGAAGCTATCGTAAGCTTGATCAGACGAGGTACGGAAAGTCAAAGTGATTAAGAGCCAAGTATATACAAGAACGGGGCACCCCGTTGTGGGAAAAGGTTGAAGCCTGGCTTGTCAAAAAGTGACCGGTTCGTGTCGTGAAGAATGGAAGCGTGGGGTGGTACCGCAGCGAACTAGCACGAGGAGGGACTCTGGGAGAAAGATGGAAGCCTGGCACATGCACCCACTTAGAAGTCCCATTACCTAAGGTAGCTGAGTGTGCGAAGTACCTAGAGGCACAGGCACGCATTGCATGGTGGCAGGTGCAGGTCACAGCAGCGGGAAAAGGATGTACTTCGTGCTCCCTGCGCAGTAAGGTACGTCAACAGCTGCCCCGCCAGCCCCTCGGATTGGGCGCAAGCCACGGACTCAGTCTCCACATCAATCCCGCTCCGCCACACCACACTATTTTCCCAGTCTTTCAACGCTCGAGGGGGACGTTGACCAAAAAAAGGTGCAAAGTCAGCCCGCCGATTCGTCAGCTCGCCAGGGAAAAAGGGTACGTAGCGTGCGGCTGTGCAACCGCTTCGCATTCCACGTTGTAAAGGCTTCAAGCGCATCCGAGGCACCGCAACGGGTTTCTTTGCCATGGGAAACCGTGCCGTTTCCCCTTCCGAAACGCGCGGCCAATGGTGGGAACCCGTCAAAAGGTTCTCTCTTTGGTATTCTTATTTTGGCAACTTTTGCAGTGCAAACCTCACATATCCAAGATACTAATTAGTGATTCGCCTGTTCGCTTATTTGATCGACGTGCTTTAATTTTCTCCTCATTTTCCTTGCCAGCTAAAGCAACGCAAGGCCTAGCCTACACAGTTTCAAGATACTAGAGTCGGGGCTGCGCTCCAAAATGCTTCGTAAGCCTTGCTTCCCGCTCGCCGCCAATTCAAGGGTCTACGTCTCGTGAAGTATGCCTTGGCGTCCCACAGAACTGCGAAATTCTGTCACGGAGGACTGGGTTCTTGTTGAGACACCCAGTGATGAATCCTCTACCAGGCGAGAATCGAGGTACCTGTGAAATCAAGAAAATGTCTAGGAGGCCTGCCTACCTGCACGTGGTTTGGGAACGCAGCCACACGCACGATGGCGAAAAGGCTTCATCATCACCGTGCCGGCCACCTCTTGGCTTTTCTCTTCCCCAGTAACTCACACATTCACTGCAACGCTGCGGGAAACCCCCAAGCCAATAGAGAGATCTCTTCCACCTCGATTTACTAGTACGCGACCGTCCTATACGCAGGGATATATCAAAATCGCACACTGATCCTCCACCAAAGGGCTTACAGCTGAACCTGGGCGAACGTGTTCACCAGCCCATGCAACGGGATTGGGGTGCCTGACGATCTCAAAGTGCGCCATCCAAAACCTTTCCCACAGAGAATCGACCTCTTCAGATCCACACTCTCATACGCGCTTCTCACGAATCAATCAATCAGGTCAACAATACTATCAAGTCGTGTGCGTTGTTTTGCTTTTGGATTACATCCTACCTACCACTAAGGTACCTACCACTCAACACTCACTGTACTGCAACATACACCATCATCACCACCCATATGTCTTGGCACTCAAGCCTCAACACTCCTCACAACCACCCACATCTCTCCATCAAAACTTATCTGTACAAGGGGGGAAAGGGAAGAACACCCACTATGTAAATGATGTCTAACTCCGCAGAGCCACCCAAGCGCCAGGCTTGAAGAAGGAAGCATTTGCAGAAGTCGTGTGGATACATATTGTTCGGTTGTGTTTGTGTTTGTGTGCGTGTGAAAAAGTATTGTTTGTACAAAGCGATCGCCTCTCGGCTCCCGTCTCTTTCTCGCTCTCTCTTTGTGTGTCAAGTGTGTGTATGTGATATGACCTCTGGTATTACAACCCGCTCCACTCCTCCACTGCCTTTCCTCCCCCTCCTCCCTTCCACCTTGTTTGACTCCTGGTAATCCGCGCCATGCTTGGGTATGAAAACAAAGAAAAGTTGCCTCGTGTGTGTTGTGTCCGGGTCACGTCTGTTGGGCGAGCTACTATGCGTTCGGCCCCAAATCCGGCCGCCGGGGTACCTCCCCGTCCGGCATCATCATGGTAAACTGGGGTTCAGGCGGCATGCCGTTTTGGCCTGTCCCGGCCGGTAGACCCGGCACAGGCGGGATGTCTTCATCCGTCTCTGGCCTGGCTTGTGCTCTCTTGACACGGCCGGTCTGTTGGTTGACCCAGCTGTCAACCGTCCTGAACCTCGCTGGAAGGTCCTCGCTGGCCTCAGTGTACACTGTTTCGCGGTTCGTCTTGCTCGCCCACGAAAAGCGACCGACGCCGTTCTGACTGGCTCTCAGTGACTGTGACACTGGGGGAGGCGGCTGGAGCACCATGCCAGGCATTCCGGGTACAATAATGTCGCCGTCGCCGAAGCCAGAAGAGATGGATGAGAGCTCGCTAGCCCGGTTGACTTGACGTCGAGCCGGGTCATAGGCGTCTGAGGGCTGGCGGGCGAGCTCAGACTGGTTGAAGTAGGCACCAGCACCCACGCCTGACCTTAATGTCAGGTTGGGGTCTGTTGGGCTGCCGTACTGTCCGATAATGTGAGTAAGAGACCCACTGGGTGCGTGGCTGATATAAGTCCCGGTTTGACTGTCATACGTGCCGACTTGGCTCGTGTAAGCGCTCTGTTGTTTGCTGAATGGATTTTGTTGACTGTTGTATGTGCCTTGCCCGCTGACGTTGTTCATCCTCATTGGGATAGTCCCTGTGGGACTCTGGTGAATGGGGCTGCCGCGATTATCAGCTGGCGACATTGTGTAGTTGGCAGGATATGTGCCGTTGGTAACGTAGGGGGCGGGTTTGCCGTCGGGGCCATAGAACCCCGTGTCCAGGCGCAGTGTTCCTCGCTGTCCCTTTTCGTACTGAGGTGGTTCGCTTCGTCTTCCATCGAGGTTCTCCCATCCACCAGATCCCTTAAAGAATGGAATCTTTGAGCCGATGCCACCTGGCCTGTCGCCTTGGTAGCCAGACTCCCTTTCCCTTCTCATACGTCCTGCCCTCTTCATCGTCCTCCACACAATCCACACAAGGAATGACGCAAAGATGAATGATCCTGCAAAATGTCAGTTTCTGTGAGGGTCTACTCCAGTTTCTGATGCTTACCTATTGAGCCAACAGCAATGAGGGCATGTTCTGTCTCGGGGTTCATTCTTGGCGGTCTGCCATCATCCTTGCTGGAGCCACCACTGGCCAAGCCTGGCAACGCTGAAATGGTCTCGGCTGGGAGTACTGCTGAGGCGAGAGTGGCTGTGATGGTAGGCGTTGAGTGCTTCTCTCCATCGATACCTTTCCTCGGGGCTGAGGGATCAACCGATGGCAAAGGGGGCAGGGCAAGGGGCCCACTGGGCGCGATAACTGCGGGCGGGACTGTAGGGGTTGGAGTGATTACTGGAGGAGGCGGTGGTGACGGAGTGAACTTGGGCTTCTTGGGCTGTTCTATATCAGTCACGTTCAACGATGCTACCTTGACTCATACAACTTACCGAATCCGGTTGCTTCATGGTTGAGATGAGGGTGACAGTTCGAGGAGGCGCCGTGACAGTCATGGTAGCTGGCGGCGCTGCTGGGGGTTCGGGTTCAGGCGGAGGAGGTGGTGGTGGGTCAGGCTCAGCCGGAGCGAGAACTGGTGCTGGTGCGGGCTCTTCAGGTGGTGGCGGCGGCGGGCTAGGAGGACGCTCCGGTGCCTCGACGGGAATCTCAGGGTGAGCGATGAAAGTCTCTTGAGGTGGTGCGTAAGTCTCTTGTGGTTGCTCGACATAGACTGGAACCTGTACAGACGGGGGTTTCGATGTGGCGGCGGGTGTCGTTCTCACGGGGGTCGGTTGCACAGCCGGTGCGGCAACGACCGCCGGGGGAGGACGAATCGATGCGGGCGGCGGACGGAGGGTTGCCAATGGCAACTTTCCTGATGCCACATTGTTGGAAGGCCTCACAGCTTTTGGGGTGTCCGGGCTTGAAGGAGGTTGCTGTTGTTGTTGGGGAGGAGGGTTCTTGGGTTGATTTTTCCGCGCCTTGTCGTCGCTGTCGCTGTCTGAGCGACGATCTACTGCCGAGTCCGCATACCTGCGTCCAGCATCGATGGCCCGTTTCCATGCGCCTCCTGCGGCGTTTCTCACTTGGTTGGCGTACTCATCGTCAGACTCGGCATCGCGATCCCAAAGCAAAGGCGGTACAGCGATGTTGGCGGGTGGTGCTCGTCTCTTGGAGGGCTTCTGGGCCCGTGGCACTGCGTGAGGAGCCATTCCCTTCTCTCCTGTCATCCTATCCTGTCCTATCCGTGCCGGACCGATGATAGTCGCCAAAGTTTTCCTCTTGTCAATCACTTCCGACCATGGCCCTTGGTTGATACTATTCGAGGTCGAGTTGTAACCGGCTGAATCGGGGTTGGAAGAATAATCGTTCGATTGCGGTAAGCGGATGAGTGAACACAGAAGAGTACAAACACACGAATGAATAGACGTCAGTGCCAGCAAAGGGGTCTAAAGAAAAGAATTGAAATGAAAAATAAGGCCGGCCTTGGTATGGAAGAATGGAAAAAAAGTGGTGAACACCAAACAACTGGCGGAGATGTCAAGCACCAGAGGGAGAAGAGGGAGAAGGGAGGAAAGAAGAGAAGGCAGCCGAGCGAGAGGCGACAGTATGTATCAGATTGGGTCGATCATCTATCCATCATTCGCGGGGAGACCCATGCTGCATGACAGATGCCCCCCCGAGATGCTTCAGGGATAGATCCAGACACCCACGACACCCCATGCGGGCACCAGCACTGACTAGGACTGGCGCAGGAACTGGCACGCGAAAGCCGATGGGTGCGGCGCACTAGTGGGTGGTCCGTGGATCGAGCTGTCGTCGAGCATGTCAGCGGTCAGTCGCGCGGGTTTGACTTTTTTTTTGTCATGCCAGCGCCAGAGGGACAGACAAGACGACTTCAGACTCTTGCTAGGCTAGCACTACTAGGTAGTAGTAGAACGACAGGCCGGCAGAATAGGTCATGGCCACAGGTACTGCTGCGTGTGTTGGCTGCGTTTGTTGGTGATGCCGTCTTCTTCGTCCCTTTCTCTGAATATCCGAACGTCAAGCACAGGCGTTCTGCTTGGACTGACATGCAGGGCCGAACACGATTGCGTCGCATCAGCAGCATCAGCGGCATCAGTCACAGGTCCAGCCACCGTCGACTATCCGAGTACAGACCACTTGGACAAGTACCCGTACAGAGCAGAAGATTCGCATCGAGAGTCTGTCCATAGACAGGTGCGGCAACCCGGCGAGGGCGAACGAGGTCGAGGAAGGTCCACCCCTCTCCTACTCGTGGGCTCCCAGCGTACGGCTACGCAGAACGGAGCATGGTCTGGTCTATTGTTCCCGTGTCCAGTCCCCTGGTGTCTGGTCCGTACGAATGCCCCGTACTGTACACCAGACTCAGACTCAGACTCAAACCCGGAGGCCAGTCCAGTAGGTATCCATTCGTGTGTGTCCAAACTGCGTAGACAACAGGGACCCTGGCCGGCACAGGCACGCAAGGCATGGATGGTGGAAGATGTCTGGAATGGACGGTTCGCCCATCGAGTCGATCCAGTAGGCAGAGAGAGCAGGCGAGATGCGCCGAAGCTTGTTAGGTGTCAATCATTGCCAGAGCAGGCCATTGATGCTCCGGCGGTAGGAGAAGCTGGGTCGGGGGGGTTGAAGCCTGAAGGAGGAACACGGACGCTCTTCCAGGGGACGGTAGGAGAAGTCTAGAGACGAGACTTGAGATGGGGGGAGGGGACCAGCTTCATCGGTACGTCTCGTCGTCTCTGCTTCATCCTCAACAGCGGTGGGTAATAAATTGGCCGTCGGCGAACGAGAGTCGAGAGAAGTTGGCCATAGGTGTGGGCATCAAGGGGAGAGAAGAACAGGGATGACACACCCCTACAGTACGCAGTAGTGTCTGCAGCATGACCGTGGTGAAGATCGTAGCCGGGGGTCTACTGTGTAGTGAATGGCATCCAAGTTTGGTAAAGTACATAGGTAAGGTACGGAGTACTGTGAGTGTGAGCCTGTGAGGTGCGTGTGAGGTGTTGTAGACGTGAGACAGCTGCAGAAAGGTCGACCAGTCCGCTGTCGAAGCTGCAGTTTCGAAGAGCCGAATTGGGACGGTATTGGAATGTCGAGTCGCTACCATCCCACGGCGAGACACATGCGGGGGATCTGTTAGCGCGAGACGTATCGTCCGGTCGGGACCCGGCATTTGAAGGGGTCTATTGGGGCCTTTGGGGGGGGGGGCAAGTTGGCAACAGAGCGCGCTGAAGGTCTGCGAGTTCTACACGAAATCTGCGACGACACTTGCAGGGGACCATGCGTCTCAGCGTGGGAAAGAGCGGGTTTCAGGACAAGGGAGGGCCCGGTGCGGACCGGGAAAGCCTTCAGGGAGTCTTTCTCCCGAGTTTCCCCCCCTCCCCTCCCCCCTTCTCTACACTAGACTCTTCCACTCCCTTCTTCCCCATTTTTGATCCAAGGCTGGGCAAGACTACCTGCCTTGGGTGTGAGCTGGTTGAACCTTTCAGGCCTAGCCTCTCTCACTGGGTCACTCAATCAAGATGGTGGCTGGCACTGGCTTGCGGGAGAGTGCCCGGCGCACTGATGTGTAACATCCAAACGGCGCTGAGGCGAGGCGGGATGGATCATTTTCATCAATGACGGATGCCAGAATTTGGCTAAGCCCACCGCGCCCGGCCGACGAATGACAGCCTCTAGAGCGGGAAATCCGAACCAAAGCAAACGGGCGACGGGCGACGGGCTTTGATTCTTCGAGCCCGGATTCCTCGCACTGCGCTGGTCGATCTATCCATCCGTTTACGCCGCTGTTTTGGCGTCCGCCCTCCGAGTCTAGAAGTACGACCATGCAATCGTGTATCCACATTCCACACACCAACGTCCCAGGCAAGCCCACTTACACTCGAGCTGACCAGGGCTCTCGGGGAGGATCACTGGTGAGGCCGGCCGGCGAGGAGGCAGACGCAGACGCAGACGCAGAACGGAGTACGGACAAACACCACCTGGTTGTTGTCGTTCCATCATCACCTTCAAGACCCTTTCCCGGCGTAGGAAAGGAGTTCAGGAGCTCGAACTGAAAGTCTGAAATGGCCGTTCTTGCCGAATTTGCCGCCTTGCCGAAAGCTGGGTTCGACAGTTTGCATCATCGTCAAAAGTCACGTTTGAAAGACTTTACCAAATTCCCTCAGCCCCTTCTTGAGCCTGTCCCCCTCCCGCCCCTTTCAGAGAAGAGTGACGGATGTCTACTGAACGAGAACCCTGTCTTTTAAAAACCCTGAGACTCAGCCGTTGAACCGCGCGATCATCATCCGGAAGTGGCGTTCACCTCGTACAAGCTTCGCCCAGGGTCATCGATGAGGCTCTACCTACCTACTTCGTGCCGGTGGTTCATGCTTTGCCAACCTAACCTAGCTGCATGGAAGAAAGGGACTGCCATAATACGGGAAAATGCCCCCAATAGTTAAGTCTACTACTGCTATATCAGCTTGGGTCCCCCTCCCCTTGTCGCTCCCTCACCTGCCAGATCTGGCTAACGGAAACGCATTTCTCTGGGCAAAACGCCCAGCGAACTAGTCTCGGCTTATTTCCCAATGAAATCTGTAAGGGGGTGGAATACACGAAAAGCTATTGAACAAAGCCAACTCTTTTTCCAGAAACCCAAAGAGCCTCATAAAACTCTCATATTGGTAATTTCGCCCACCTCAATATCTTGCTTTCAACATTCCTCCTCTCTCTCTCCGCGAGGCTAATTCTCTACGAGTCAATAAACTACTGTTCCCTCTGTAAGGTTACTGCTCGCCTCGTTCCGTTCGCGCTGCCCCTGAGCAAGAAGTAACTAGCGTGCAATTATGTTAGTGACTCGCCGCTCTCTTTTTCTGCCCCAATTCAATTATTTCCTCCAAGCCGGGCACTTTGCTATTGGTCCCGGAGCCATGCTATAGCCACATCTCACGGCCGCACGGCCGAACCCTCGAAACCTGAACTTCCCTCCCCCCCTCGTCACACAGACACACCTCTTCAAACCATCACCTCTTTACACATCCCGTTGTGCTGCGCCCTTTTTTGCCGTAACGAGCCGGTTCCCACCTGTCTCCAGGACCCCTCGTTGCCCCGTGTTTGGCTGCCTTTGCCTCAAAAGTCTTTTCATCTCAACCTCTCTCTCTCTTTCGTTACTTCGTACCTTGCCGGCTTGCCCAAAATCTGCAACAAACTTCGCAAGACTTGTCACAGGAAGATCCAACAGTGCAATTAAGCTCCCATCTTGGCATCTGGAAACCTGTCTATCAGGGGGCGGATCCGAGCCAAAAATCACACCTCCTCCGTCTGCCTTTTACCTTGCTACGCCTGCTGATTGGATCTTTACGAGGGGGGGAGGGTAACGAGAAAGAAGCTTGATTGTGATGGATTTTCTTGGCCTTCACTAGCCATTAACCGCTGGCGTTCTTCGAAGGTTCAAATTTTCCGCTCAACGCGAGCTTCTCGGCTTGTATCAAGAGAGGTTTACCCCTTCATCTCTAAACTACGTATTCGAGGGATTCAAACAAGCCAGCTCCCGTGACTCTACTACGAAGGGGTTGTACAACTTTCCCAAGGCGCTTGAGGCTCATCAGTCGTATACCTGAAAAAGACACCCCCCTCGTACAGAAAGACCTACGCCGCATGCATACGAGAGGCCCATGGCGGAGGCTTGGCAGAGATCTATTCACATCATCTAACGACCGTGCTCTGCTTCACAAGTCAAAAGCTGCGGGAAACCTTCTTCTACCAAGACTACCAAGGCTTCCCTCACAATAAATTGACATTAATATACTCGGACTCTTTGCCCAGAGAAAATTGGTCAGAAGAGAATCCAAACAGATTTTGTTCCTGGGCAACAAGAGGTTGCTGGGATCAATGTTCGCTTGACAAATCCTCCACGGCTTGGCTACCATGATATCTTGCCTGCCAAGCTTCACGATCTTCTTACCAAGAACTCGGGTGTGCTGCCGCATGGATGCACCCGAGGCTCTTGACTTGGCTTCCCCCCCCCTCCACCCTCTCTTTCTTACCACACTGCAAGATTGGCGAGAAATGTGGAAAGTATATTGCGAGGCGAGCCTTCTGGAGTTCTGCTATGTACGTACTGCTCAACCTGCCGGCCGTTTCGGCCCCATCTCATTTGGGGATGGATGATGATGGGGCCCATTGACCTTTCAACTTGACGAGCTAGCTTCGCTACACCATCGACGGACGAAAGTGGACTGCTCGATATGAGTCGAGATTCCTCAGCCGACTCAGTCGAGACCTTTCGATGGTGCGGACTTCTTGTGGTTCTTGTGGTCCATCCTCAATGGGCGCCCTCTTTTTTCCATCTGCCGGCATAACGCAGCGGGTTCAGCTCGCCGCCGCCGCACTGGGTCCATGTCATGCGCTTAAGCGCCTGTCAGATGGGATCATGGAAGCAGCTGAGGTGTGAGGGAGCTTTCGCGTCATGACGCTGTCCGACGGACATTGTTCGTGATCAAACGATGAGGGGCCCGCGGTTTGCGTAAGCCCGCGAGGATAAGACGGCACGCAAGCGAACACTCGCGGTGAGGAATTGCATGATGTTAGAAACCGTGGGGTTTTGCAGCCGCACCACAAATGCATCCACAGCCTTGCCGCCCGTATCAAGACCCGATCACGGTTTTTGTGTCATACCAGGCGGTTGCTGGTGCAATGGCGGTGCTCCGTCTGCGAGGCCTCTGGATTCGAGTTCCTCTCAGTCTCGGCTCTCTGGAGGTCTTGGCCCACATTCTCCTGTGTGAGCTTGTAAGTCAGACACGAACCTTGTTTCATCTTGGCCGTCGGGTTCAGTATCCACCACAAGGCACAGTGATCACCCCCATCCCATCCCATCCCATCCCATCGGCGCCTCCTCTTTTTTTCTCCCTTCACCTGCTGTTGGCGGGTTGGGTTTGCGGCGTTTCAGCATCTCGGGCCCGGGCATCGAGAAAGAGAGACAAGATGTGCTGTGCCGAAATGGACACCCCGTTTCGTTTCCGCGCGCGCAATCACCAAACTGCCGACACACTAGCTTCCTACCCGCTCGATCCTATTTCCTCCCCGGCACCTCCCCTTCCCCCAAGGCTGCGGTTCGTACAGAGAGTGCTTGGCTCGGAGGCAGCAAAGGAAACTTTTCCTAATCTGCACATGTTGCCGATGAGCCGCTTGGGGACCCTTCTTCTCCTCGGCCATCAGTTTCGAGCATGTGCTGAGATTGTAATCCCATCTCTGGATGATAGCTGTGGAGACGACGCTAGCTGTGAATGTGAGGGCACTTTCAGTCTCACAACGTGCTTTGAAGAACAACGCACGAGTGCGTCTTGGGCCATGTGCAGTCTGGAGGTGCCAGATTGGAAGGTCAGAAGAGCAGATGAGCGACAGGACGAAGTGAAGCGAGTGATTGACAGGAGCCGAGGCGATGGTAACTAGAGGGCCGTAATTGGCCGAGGCGATGGTGGCATCCAACTCGTGAGCAGCCACCACATGTTTGGATGTAGGAAGATCGATGGCGGAAATTCCCGGCAGCCTGTACGGGATGATGAGGAATAGAGGAAAACATCGGAGAGCGAACGCCCGTGGTGATATGTTTGGGGCTTGATGCTTTTAAGGAAAGAGCCTGGTCGGTCTTCGTCGCGTGCCTGCCTGCCAGTCCCGTCCCGTTCTCCAGAATTCCTAAGTCCGACGGTTTCGGCGATGATCTCGGAGAGAAGGAGAGTAGTGGAGTCGCCGGGCCGCATGGGCACCTTGATGGTTCCCGGGAGACGGTGGCCGTTGACCTCGAGACGAGGGCCCGGACTGCCGGACTGGGGGCAAAGGGGGAGGAATTGGCCGGGACATTCGGCCGGATGGAGCGCAATTTCGGGGCTCGGGAAGTGGTCGGGTATGGGGAACAAGTTCGGGCAGAACGACTCCATGCCACATAGCAACGCTAAAAATCAGACCCATGAACTCCTCAAGTCCGAGATAAGACGTGCTCTAGCTCGGGGCCCTTCGGAGAAACGGCATTTGGAGCTTGCGGGTACTAGTGTAGTGGTCATTTTTTTCGGGAGTGATGACATGGGCGTATGACTGACTACCTTGGGTCGAGGTATCCCGAGGGATTGAGGTAAGTTTCCGGAGCATGAAAGCTTGCTCACGGGCTTTGGATTTCTCGGGGGAAAGGATGGCATGGCATTGAAAAGCATGTGCGCGAGAGGCTTTACAATAAGGTACTGTCGCTATAAACAATTTGGAGATTTAGATGAGATCTGGCGCAGCGGAGCCTGGAGTTGGCTGGAGGCTGGTAAGGGTGGACGGGGAAGTGGAGTTGGGGGGCGGGTCAAGCACAGTTGGATTTTGAGAGATATTAGTGAGGGACGTGTGTAAGATAAAGGCATGATTGGGTGCGATGCTTGACGGCGGGTAAAAAAGTCACGAAAAAAAGAGCGCGCGATGGAGACATTTCCTGAGTCATCCTGGTCTGGGTTGCTATCGCGACATCAACCAGGCGCAGTTGGTAAAGGTGCGACGGACCGAAAGTGCCCAGGTGCGGAAGGAGAATTCAATGACAAAACGCCGGGATTCGGCCGGGGCGTGGCCGGGCTTCTTCTTTGGATCAAGGCCGCCGGCGGACAAGGCGCCGCGCAACGAAAACAAAAAACAGCAAGGCCAACCAAGATGAGCAAAAAAAAAAAAAAAAAAAAAAGAATAAAAAAAATACAAAGACAACCGGGGGAAAAGGGCAAGAGACACCCCGAGGCCCACTCAAGCCCACCTTGAAATGGCCCATACGTTCGTGACCCCCAAAGCTGAGGTGGAAGATGGACCAAACACTGATAGGGCAAAAACAAGCGCTCCATTGGGAGCAGACTGCGGCTGCGCGGACCACGATACGGAGTTTAGTTGAATCCCCTGTATGCCTAGCACCGGGTAAGCAGCTAACATTGCACAACAAGCGCAACAAGGGACCTAAGGCAGTTGGGTCCCGGGACGGCCAAGACATCTTGGATCCAATGTCGGCAGCAGCATTGCTTGCTCTTGGGAGTTTGCTGTATTGCCGCAAACAGCCCACCCAATCACACGCCGTCTTTTCCGTCCAAGCTTCCCATTTCTTCCACCTCATCTTTTTGGCTGGCGGCGCCGCAGGCGGAGCGCGCTATCTCTGACCTCACGTCCTCACCCCCGTAGCACCTGAAATTTTCTGCAAGCTGCCAAAAAATACCGCCAGGTCGGGAGGGTCCAGCCGCCAGCCTGCAAATCTCTCTTCGTTTGCTGCGTCACACTCTTGGGATTCCCACCCCCAATTCCTGTTCAGTCCTACCAGCTTGTGCCCGCGCATCCTTATCGTCTCCGAATTTCCTCCCTCCTCCGAATTCCTTCGTGACTTTTTTTTCCTTTTCCCTCTTCCCTTCCCTTCAACCAAGTGTCGCATCTTCTTGCCTCGCCATCAAGAACCATCTTTGGTCACCGGGGACCTTCCTCTCCATCACCAATTGAAGCAATGGCTTCCTCCGTCAGAGCCATGAGCTCCCTCCGCGCAGCCCAGCAGCTGGTCCCGAAAGCTCCGCGTGCTGCCAATGCCGGTCGCAGAACCCTTACAACCACTTCCAGACAGTCTCTCAGAACCATCACCGCAAGGCCGAGAGTCGCCGCCCTTCCCCAGGTCGGAACCGTTGCGCGCCAGCTCACCAGAAACTACGCCGATGTCGCTCCCAAGAAGGCTGGCAAGGTCCGCAAGACCTTCAGATGGGCCTGGCGCTTGACCTACCTCTCTGCCCTGGGTCTCTTCGGCTACATTGGATACGTTGTCTACGATGACAGGCACCCCGAGGACCAGGTCGAGCTGGACCCTACCAAGAAGACGCTGGTCATTCTCGGTAAGTTTCTCACTCGACGGCCTGCGCGGCATCCATACACGCATTGTACATATCGCGCATACTGACAACTTGTAACAGGCACTGGCTGGGGATCCGTCTCTCTTTTGAAGAAGCTCGATACAGAAAACTACAACGTCGTCGTTATTTCGCCGAGAAACTACTTCCTCTTCACCCCTCTTCTGCCTTCTTGCACCACCGGCACGATTGAGCACCGCTCCATTATGGAGCCCATCCGAACCATCCTCCGTCACAAGAAGGCCGCCGTCAAGTTCTACGAAGCCGAGGCCAGCTCCGTCGACCCCGAGAGGAAGGTTGTCAAGATCCTGGATACGTCGGAGATTAAGGGCACCACATCCGAGACTGAGGTCGCCTACGACCTCCTGGTTGTCGGTGTCGGAGCCGAGAACGCCACCTTTGGCATTCCGGGCGTGCGCGAGAACTCGTGCTTCTTGAAGGAGATCAACGACGCCCAGGCTATTCGCAAGAAGATCATGGACTGCGTCGAGACCGCCGCCTTCAAGGACCAGTCTGCCGAGGATGTCAGCCGTCTCATGCACATGGTTGTCGTTGGTGGTGGACCCACTGGTGTCGAGTTCGCTGGTGAGCTTCAGGACTTCTTCGAGCAAGACATCAAGCGTCTGGTCCCCGAGATTGCCGACCGCTTCAAGGTTACCCTGATCGAGGCTCTCCCCAACGTCTTGCCCTCTTTCTCCAAGCAGCTGATTGAGTACACCGAGAAGACCTTTGAGGAGGAGAAGATTGACATCTTGACCAAGACCATGGTCAAGAAGGTCACCGACACCTACGTCCAGGCCGAGGGTACCGGCCCCGACGGAAAGAAGCAGACCCTCACCATTCCCTACGGTCTTCTTGTCTGGGCTACCGGTAACGCTGTCCGCCCCATCATCCGCGACCTCATCACCAAGATTCCCGCCCAGAAGGACTCTCGCCGCGGTCTGGCCGTCAACGAGTACCTCGTTGTTCAGGGCACCCGTGACATCTGGGCCATTGGCGATTGCGCCGTGGCCGGATACGCCCCGACTGCTCAGGTCGCCGCACAGGAAGGTAACTTCCTTGCCAAACTCTTCAACAACATGGCCAGAACCGAGACCCTCGAGGAGCGCGTCCAGGAACTCAGCGCCAACCTGAACCTCAAGCCCGGCAACGCTGCCGAGGTCGCCAAGGAGATCGAGGCCCACGAGCGCCAGCTCCGCCGCATCAAGGACATCAAGCCCTTCCACTACTCTCACCAGGGCAGCTTGGCCTACATTGGCAGCGAGAAGGCTGTCGCCGATGTTGCCTGGTGGAACGGAAACATTGCCAGCGGTGGCACCATGACCTACTTCTTCTGGCGCAGTGCCTACCTTTCCATGTGCTTCAGCAGTAAGTTCTAACATCTCCTGACGTGGTTTTGCCTCTTGTAGTCACATGCTAACGCTCTTGGCCTTTTAGCTCGCAACCGTCTCCTCGTCGTCAACGACTGGCTCAAGTCCAAGGTCTTTGGTCGCGACATTTCAAGAGAATAAGCTCGGGTGGTTTTACTCTAGGCGTTTATGAATCATTCTCCTTGCCCTTGGCGCTGGGATAATTTTCACTTCTTTGTTTTTGTTTCTTCTCTTTTGTGTCCTGTAACCTTTTCTTCCGTTCAACCTCTGTTTGTTTTATTGGTGTCTTGAGCGAAACGATAGAATCGATCGGCTTTTAATGGCTGGGCGGGGAAACGATAGACTGGGTAGAAACTGGGACACCCGATTCAAGTCCCTCCTTCGAAAAGGGGGGAAATGAAAAACCAACAAACGCACAAACACGACTACCTACCTTTACACCCTGTAGGACTTTGTCCGATGCTGCTTTTTTCTGCCAATAACACCTGTACAATGTTCAAAAACAACTACCGAGGGTCCTCGGCTTATCCTGCGCTCGGACGCGTGAGAGTTGAATAATGAGGAAATGTTACGATTTTAGACACACATACGACTTGACATGATGGACGTGGGGTTTACCTAGCTTGCAGCATGTGATATGATGTAGGCAGATATTCATACGGGCTCCGCAGATGAGATAAAGTGTGTCTAAGCGACGGGACGAGCCGAAGCTGCGTAAAAGTTTCCGAGTTGCTGGGAGTGAATGCATGGCCTGCGGGTGATCTCGGAGGATGAGATGACCTAGGACTCCATATCTCACCTGCATGACCGAGCTTGTTCGGACTCTACCTTGAAGTTATCGACGTACAGCCTTTTATGGGATGGGATGCCGAGGCTTGATGACATGCTACTTAGGTGTATACGAAACGTCAAGATGTGGTGTCACCTAGCGAGGTTGAATATGTTCTTGTTCTTTTGGTGTTCACGTGGTTGCGGGGAACCAGGTGAGCGATTGAGGTTAAATAGAAGGAGGTCTTGGTTGACATGTGGGATTGGGGCGAGTATTGGGAGCAGCTCTCGATGGCTTTGTTCTTCTTCCGTGTCGACCCTTTCAGCTGATCGTTGTCATTCATATTCTTCCCGAGCAAAACTCTTGAACTGTAAATTTTCAATCTCAAGATCCAGGAGATTGACTCCTCAGTCAGAGTTTACATTACTGTTGCTGGAGGTCCGCTCAACATAATAAAGAAAGACGGCGAGTACACATATTAGTACACATGACAATGAGTGAGTCATTCGACTTTATTCAAGTTTCCGCGACTGGGTTATTTCGTCCGGTGTGACTATCGACAATGGGATACAGATACTTGATAGTTCTTTCGTTGGAAAAAAAAAAAGGATACTTATAGCACTTAGTAAGTCGACTATGGTCTCCAAGGATGACATGGAAAAGTCATGAAAGAGACATTCTGAATTCAAGGGGGCAAAACCAGCATGTCAAGTTGACTCGGTCAATGTAAGCACATTACGGAATTCATATTCAGACCTCTCTGGCGCATATTACATTATCCAATAAAAAATACTACTCAACCCGTGACGCACCTATTCCTCCAATGCAGTCTAAGTAGACGTCGCGGAGTGTCGCCGCTGCAGGTTGACTATCCTTCCTAATGAAGAAATACTCCAAATCTTCGAGTCCACTTATATTAATAAATTGGGGCTTTATGTCCGCTCCTCTCCGCCATCTCCTCGGGACTAACGATGGTGAGCGACCACACGGGGGACAAAACACTTTGCCGGCTACCGGTTTTCTAAGCACGCTCACCTCCAGATTCACCGAACATTACCCAGACAGCCAATCAGCTCTCTGATCTGAGCTGACCAAGAACCCATCGAGTTCCCGGGTCTGCGGGCCGGCCGCCGTTTCGCAGTGTCCGGGTTTCCGGGTTGGCGATCGTTCACCTTGGCAGAGCTTGTGTCTGCCCCGGAGCATTGCTAAAGTCACATGAACTCGCAGTAGTTGAGTCTTGACTCTGGCCGCGAAAAATTCTCCGGGAACAAGTGGCATTCCGTTGCCAGTAGACAGACACTCGGTAGCTGCCAAGCCAATCCCAATAAGGATACAAAGCTTGGTGACGCAAAGGTAGGTCTCCGTGAGTCTGGAGTAACCCGCTTCAAGCTTGAGATCGTCCCACATCGCCCATGCAAGGAATGGCGTATTACATATTCCGTCCAAGATAGACTAGGATCCCCATTCGTCATTCTTAACTTTCAAACAAATTTAAACTCTTTGAAGTTGCTTCCCATAAAACCCCAAGACCGCCAAACTTTTTGTCTACTTGAACTACGGCTGAAGTACGATTAAAGAATCCCAATTGAAAGCTTTGATCAACTTCGAGTCGACAAGCTCCTCCTCAAGAGTCTGGAGTAAGACATCGAGCGATTACCACTAGATACGACATGTCTGCTCAGTCGACAACGTTGACAGTCGGCCAGGAGATTCCGCTCCAGGAATTGACCTCGAAAGAAGGCAGCCTTTTAAATACCGAGGGACATGTTTTAGGATCGGGCACAGATGCGACGGGAGGTCTTCCGGCTCCGACGACAACAGCCGAAGTTGTGCAGAGATGGAATCACCCGAGGTCAAATCTCTTCAGAGTCCTGTCCTGCTTCTTCAGTCTCCTCGTCTCCGGTGCGAATGATGCCGCCTACGGTGTAAGTTCCTCTCACCACTCTCATCAGAAACTCAAAAGTGTATAGCAGCGACTGACCTCAGTAACAGGCTTTGATTCCCTACGTACGTTTCCTCCCGTCCAAGCTAACTGTGATACCCCCGGTCTCGCGCTGACTGACGCCCTTGACCAGCTCGAAACCTACTACGGCCTCTCCTACGTCGTCGTCTCCCTCGTCTTCCTCTCCCCCTTCGTCGGCTACGTCCTCTCGGCCGCCCTCAACAACTACGTCCACCTGAAGCTCGGCCAGCGCGGCATCGCCGTCATCGCCTCCACGTGCCACATCGTCGCCTACATCATCATCTCCCAGCACCCGCCCTACCCGGCGCTGGTGGCCGCCTTCGTCGTCGCCGGCTTCGGTAACGGCCTGAGCGACGCCGGGTGGAACGCGTACATTGGCAACATGGCGAGGGCGAACGAGGTTCTTGGCTTCTTGCACGCGTTTTATGGCGTCGGCGGCGTGATTGCCCCGTTGATTGCCACGACTATGATTAACAAGGCGAACTTGGGTTGGTGGAACTTTTACTACTTCATGGTGAGTCTCAAGCCCCCCAACTTCCCCCTTCTCCGTCACGACGAGAGTATGTAAGTGAGTGGCATGATCTAACTCTACGTCAACTCCCCAGCTCGGTCTAGCCTCCATCGAGCTCATATGGTGCACGGCAGCCTTCTGGACGCAAACCGGCGCAGTCTACCGCGAGCTGGTAAGCCACTCCCGCAGCGACAACGCCGGAGGCGGCGGCGGCCTCCGCACCGCCCTCCTCAAACGGCCCTACGCCCGTGTCACCTGGCTCTGCGCACTCTTCCTCCTCGCCTACGTCGGCACCGAAGTTTCCCTCGGCGGCTGGATCGTGCAGTTTATGATCCAGGTCCGCAAAGCGAACAACTTTGACTCGGGCATGACCTCGGTCGGCTTCTGGCTGGGCATCACCCTCGGCCGCGCGGTCCTCGGATTCGTCACCCCCAAGCTGGGCGTTAAGCTCGCCGTGTCGGTCTACATCCCCATCGCCATGGCGCTCGAGTTGGTCTTCTGGCTTGTGCCGCACTTTTACGTTTCTGCCGTGGCTGTCGCGCTTCAGGGGTTCTTCTTGGGTCCGTTTTTCCCGGCGGTTGTGGTCGCGGCGACGAAGCTGCTGCCGAGGCACCTGCATGTGAGCACCATTGGTTTTGCGGCGGCGTTTGGCGGCAGCGGGGCGGCGATTCTGCCGTTTGCTGTCGGCGCGCTGGCGCAGGCTAAGGGTGTGCAGGTTTTGCAGCCGATCATCCTTGCCTTCTTGGGGGTCATGCTCGTGTTGTGGCTGTGTCTGCCGAGGATTGGACATAAGCAGGAGTAAGGGCAGTGGTAAGAGATTAGGTGGAAAAGGAGAACAGTGGTATCCTATGTATATGCGCAAAGTGTGGCCTTCTGAAAGAAACATTGTAACTCAAGTCTACCTCAGAATGCGGATGTAGAGATGTCCATTGCATCATATCTGGAGTTTGAAGGTTTTCATATCACGGAAAATGTAAGTTTGAATAGAATTTAAATCTGCTCGGGTGGTATTACTTGAGACTTTACTGGCGTAACAAGAAGAAGAGGTGGGTATAACATGAGCCATATGGCAAACCAGAGCTGGACAGCTTGACTTCGCGATAATCAAGTAAGAATGACACGGTGGACTAGGAAAGCGGCTTGTGTTTCTACAAATGGATAGTACACTTACCTACTAATCAAAATGCACTGCAAGACAGGCGGTTTATGTGAGTGGTTCGCCTCGTTCGGTTCACGACATCCAAAGTTCATCTTCTTGGGCTTTGCGTGCGCTGACTGAAGTCTGTCTGATCCCGGTTATGGCTTGCCGCCTTGAAGAAATGTATAGTTAAGAGAGACATTCCAGTGGGAGTTGATGGGGATGCGTGATTCACCTCAAAGGAATGATTGCAATGCGGTATAAACAATTCAAATATGACAGTGGATCAAAGGATTCAAAGTCAGATAAATTGTACAAAGTAGTAGCAGAGAAACAGAAACAAAGTCAAGAATCAATTGCAACATTGAAAGGCATAGTATACCGAGATCTTGAGAAATAGCACGGACTCGAACAAAGGAAACAGGACGGCGAGCGCCGGGAGTGTCTCACTCCACCGGAGGCGATCGCATCCCAATAGTTTCGGGGCTCTGGGCTCCGGGATCGGCATCGTCGGCCCGCTCCAACTCGGAACCGTGTCGGGAAACCTGCATTGCATACTGCCAATCGCAAAACACCTCACCCTTTTTTCCAAACATAGCAGTGTTGTCGCCTTGTCTCACACACCTCTTTCTACAAACTACATTAGTTGAGTTCAACGTCACCCAGAAGACTTCCCCGCGATCTTCTTCCCAACCACCTCTTTTCCGGTCCGGCGGTTTAATTCCGCTCACCCGCACAGACGGCAGGAATACGAGGGGTGAGGTATCGACGATTCCCATTTGACAGCTGATAAGGAGGGAAAATCACACCAACATCTACTCATAACTTTCTTACAAGCACGGGATATCCTCAAGAAGACAAAACGCAACACTTGGGACAAGATGGGTTCCCAACCAACAATAGATATGGATTTTGTAGCTCTTCCCAAAATCGAGGTATATTTTCAAGGGAACCCTTACGGGTGTGAGACTTATAGCTATGAACATCCTCATCTGACACCATCACAGCTCCACGCTCACTTGACGGGTAGCATAAGCCGTCGCACCCTCCACGACATCTGGGTCATCAAGCACGAGGCAGGCGGAACGGACCTCGAGGACCCCCTCGTCGTGATGCCGGACGGCAAACACGACTACGATCTCACCACGTAAAGCCTCACCTCACCTCGCCTTTACCTCCCAACAATCCGCCACCCCTAGCCTGGATTCACTAACAAGACAATCTACACACAGCTTCTTCCCCCTCTTCTCATCCTACATCTACAACCTCATCACCGACGTCGACACCCTCCGTAAGGCAACCCTCTCCGTCCTGCAAGACTTCCAAGCAGACGGCGTAACCTACCTCGAACTCCGCACCACCCCGCGCTCCCTGCCCTCGCCGACCCCCCAGCCGCCGTCCGTCTACGTCGCCACCATCCTCTCCGCGATAGACGCTTTCGAGACCTCTCATAGGGACAACCCAAACGCAATGCGCACCCGCCTTATCCTCTCCGTCGACCGCCGCCATACCCCATCCCAAGCCCACGAAACAGTCCGCCTCGCAGCCTCCTTCCGCAACAGGGGCGTCGTCGGCGTAGACCTCTGCGGCGACCCGGCCGCCCGCATCCACACCGCGGGCCAAGACGACGACAACTCGGAAACCATCTCCATCTTCCGCCCCGCCTTCGCCGAAGCTCGGGCGCTAGGCCTCGATATCACGATCCACTTTGGCGAGGCAGAGTGCTCCGGCCACCCGGCCGAGCTAGCTGAGATCCTGTCGTGGTCACCGCGCCGGCTGGGCCACGTGATCCACCTCGGCGAGGACGTGAAGCGGGAAATCGCCAAGCGCGGCATCGGGCTCGAGTTGTGTTTGAGCTGCAACGTCCACGCGGGCATGGTGACGGGCGGGTTCGAGGGCCATCACTTCGGGGAGTGGTGGGGTGTGGAAGGGAGCTTGATATCTCTGGGCGTACGTTTTCTTTACTCGGTTCTTCTTTTCCCGGGACCTCCACCACCGTTCTCCAGCATCTTTTCGCGACGCTCATGTGATCCTCAAAAGGTATGTCAGCTGACTCTCTTGAATCCGAATAGACCGACGACGTTGGCGTCTTCGGCAGCCCGTTGTCCAACGAGTACAGGCTAGTAGCGGAGCACTTCAAGCTCTCCCGCGACGAAATCTGCGCCCTTGCCCGACGGGGCATAGAGACCATCTTTGCAGACGAGGCCGAAAAAGAACGTCTCCGGCAATTGATGTGGTAAATCCGCCACCGCTGCCGCAGCTGCTGCCTGACAATGAACCTTTATCGTTGCATCGATGAACTGAGTAGACCAGAAAGCGGTCCAGTAAACGGACCTGCGAACGTTCCAAAGGGGCACACCGGGATAGCGATTGTCGACAGTTCTGCCAACAAACCCTTTTCCTGGTATGGAAATTTCGGTCCAACCCGGCGCCTACTAGAACGCCGAATTCGCTTTATTCTCGTACCGGTCCTTGCACTGGACCGGCACAAGACCCCGAAGGGCCGGACGTTCGCTTTTGAATTCCCGAATCGGGTCGAGCGAGAGTCTTTCGTAATGCTGCCCGCTATGCCAGATTAGTTTTGCCGTGTATAAGCACAAAGTTCTCCGTAGCCTCCCCGTGAGATGAAGAATGATTGGGCAGTTCGGCAAAGCGTTGACTTGATTGCTTCTCAGAAAGCAGAGAGTTAGTTCTTGTGTTTAATGGAATATCCTTTGGCTCACTCAACCCCCTTCGAGCATTTTGTCTGCCATGCGGGCGGCCGGCGAGTCGACTGCCCACCATGAACTGGAATCGATCTGGTCGATTCGCATCAATGGTTGAAATCTACGGAAACCACCTTAATTAGCTTTGCTTTCGGTACCTTGCAACTTACCGAGTAACACTGTCCGTGGGGCCCCGTTTTGATACTCGGTGAAATCTGGCCGGCTGGGCTAGCCCGAATCTCGGTTGGGCCGGCTCCGTCTATGTAGATTTGTAATTCTCCCATTATGACCAGAGAAAGATTCTGGCGAGAGATTTTTCTCGTGCTACGGTCCGCTGCTTCATATTAATGTTCAACGCCTTTAGAAACCTACAGTACCTCACCAGTACTAGATATTCGGCTGGCTATTCCAACAAGCTTTGATGATAGGAGGTACGCCATGCTGAATTGAGAAATGACTCTACAAATAGCCTTACAAAACTCTAATAGTGGTTTCTGTTGAGTCTACTAAATCTACCGAGTCAATGCTTTCGAAGCACGATGCAGTAGTTCGCCATCTTGTCAAAAGCAGGGCCCGGAATCGTTGATATTGTATTGCTGATAGCCAGGTCTGTGCAGCAAGTAGGTGCCACCCGCAGGTAGGCGCATGTCATACCCAAGTCGAGACGGCTTCTTACATAAACGTGCAAGCGTGCAAGCTACGTTGGTATCCCTTGATTATGGAGGCGTGGGAGGCTTTCTTTGGGAAGCAAGATCTCTTAGATGGTTCCCGCTAGACCGAACGAGCGTTTGCCAGCAGCAGGGACGTGCCAAGCTGCCAGGAGGGTTCTCCTCCTCGCCCTGTACTGCGAGAGAAGGGGGGGGGGGCAAGCATACCGCCCAGTCGTAGGGCTAAGAAACGACAAAATGTCTCGTCTGCTGCAGCCTCGAGGTTTCGTGGTGGTCTTGCTTGTCAAGTGTGCCATACTTTGCCCTCACTGCCTCGGCCTTATGGAGAGTAGCAGAAGTATGGGGTGACATATTGTTGTCCAACACCGTCGTGCTGGGCCCGCGCACTCCGCGGACTGCCTTACAGGAGTGTACTCCGGAGACAGATTCGCGAATGACGATTAATAAACCGCGACACGATCTGTTATTCGTCTTGACATTTCGTTGAGATGACACACAGACCTCGTCGATTTCCTGAACCGTCGTCGGTTGCTAGACGAGATCCGTCATGCCACCCGTAGGAAAGGTGATCCTGGCGTCGAAATGTGAAACGGCTAAACATGGAGCCTGAAGTATGAGAAAACATCTTTCAGAAGGCTGCGACCTCCTGGTAGCTCATAGCATTGGAATTTTCACGGAGCGAGTATCCGTACCAACGGTCAATGCAAGTTTGAAAGTGACAAAGGGGGAATGCCAGTAACTCGAAGCGAGTAGCAAGCGGATTCTATCCTTGATCCTGGGTGGAACAGGAGCCCGTGCGTCTTCCGCCCAGCGAAGAAGATTTACGTTCTTGTCCATGAGTGATCGGCGGCTGTCGAAGATATCAAAGCTGCTGGTAAAGAGACTTACGACGACATATCTTGAACCCGGGCAATGTACCCCGTTCTATAATCTCGTGTGTCCATCAATAACCAATGACTAACTGGTCCGTCATCAACTAGGTTTGCGGAGATACTCGAATTTCTGCGGAGTTTACGTTGAGCCCTCGCCGAACTGGAACGGGAGCGAGGCAGTGAATCTGCTTGTCGGTGACGTTGACCGTGACATATCTGTCAAAGCTTCGACCTGGGCAAAATCGAATAATTGGCTGTCAGTTTCGGTCTCCTTCGATCCATCTTGTAACATACTTCGCGAATCAGACGAGCTGCCATTATGCGCCATTGTGCTTCGATGGAGGCCTAAACCCAAGTTCGGTATAGGGTCGAACTTGGACTGCCGATGTACCGCACAGTGCGAGCGAGATTGTAGGCTA